TACTTATACACCAATTCCCATCAGTCCTTGGTTGAGGGCTGATCGGGCAGAGGGTGGGGGGTAGGTGGTAATCCCCTGGTACTTCCACCCTGCTCTGTGTCGGCCCAGTGTGCTCCTGTGGCCAGAAAAAGTCCTCAAGCAAAGGTCACAGATGCTTGCAGTTGGAGCATCCGGTGAACATGCACAGGAATGGTGAGTGCCAAGGAGATATGGGGGAGGCACTGACAGCATCTCTTACAAGCGTCTCTTGCATACCTTACATGTTAGTGGTGGGGAGATGGAAAGTAAACCGGCAAAAACAAATAATGGACAAGGTATTTTTGGATAAATATAAGTATTACGAAGAAAACAAAATACAAGCTACTTTGTCAGCAATGGTGGTGGGAGCTTATTTAGACTTGGTAGTTACGGATGGCCTCCTTGATGTTTGAGCTAAAATTGAAGGACAAAAAGGGAGATGGAGGGGCTGGCCCCGTGGCCAAGTGCTTGGGTCCATGTGCTCTGCTTCAGTGACCTGGGATTTCACTGGTTTGGATCCTGGGTGCTGACATGGCACCACTCATCAAGCCATGCTGGGGTGGCATTCCACGTAGCAGAGCCAGAGGCACTCATGACTAGAGTATACAACTATGTTCTGGGGGGCTTTTGGGGGGAGAAGGAGGAGGGGGAGGAGGAGAAGGGGGAGGGGGAGAATGAGGAGGAGGAGAAGGAGGAGGAGAAAGATTGGTAGCAGATGTTAGCGCAGGTGCCAATCTTTAAAAAAAAGAAGGGGAGATGGAGAGTGGGCAGAGCATCCCAGGCAAAGCAACACGGAGCGCAAATGCACTAAGGTAGGAGACCGGTGTGACTGGAAGTGTAGTGAAGAGTTGAGCGGTAGATAACAAGAACAGAAGGTAGGCAGGAAACACACCATTGGGATCCTGTAAGCCACTGTAATACGTCTGGAATTAACATTAAGTGCAGTGAGAAGCCTTTAGAAGATTTTGTGAAGAGAACTGACATAATCTCATCTGGATTTTATAAAGAATCCTAGGCTTCTGAGTGGTCAATGGATACAAGATGACCAGTCCAGGGGCTATTGCAACAGTCCAGGTGAAAGACAACAGTGGCTTGAACTAGGCTGGACTGGTCCAGAGATGCAGAGTGTGGGGAGGATTGATGTAGATATAGTTTGCAAATAGAAACAATAAGAATTGATTAGATTGCATGGGGGTACAGGCAGTAAAGGTAAGATTCAAAGATGATTAAGTTTTGGGCTTTGGGTATTTTGTGGATGGTGGTCCCATCTACTTAGATGACGCAGACTGGGAAAAGAGACTGGGGTGGAAGATAGAGTCAATCTTTCTATTTCAGTCATGTTAATTTTGAGATGCCTGTTATATCCAAATGGTTGCCAACCAGGCTGCTTAGTCAGCTGAAGGGAATATGAGATCAAAAGAGGTTTTCTTTCCTTCTATTTGAAATATGGGAGATATTCTATCTGATTAAAATAATCCAATTGAGAGGAAGAAATTGATGCTTCAGAAAAAAGAGGGTAATTATAGTGGTAATTCATGGAGAAGAAGGGATGGTACCCAGGACACAAACGGAGGGGTTGGTTTTGACAGGAGCAAGTACACTTCATCCATCACAAACAGGAAAGAAGACAGAGTATGCGCCATTGCCCAAGATGGGAAGATTTGGAGGTGGGAACATGAGGGAGCTTCAAGCATCTCAATGATGCATGAGGCAAAGCCTTCAGCTGTGCAAGGAGGATGGGGGCAAAGGGAAAGAGAGAAAACCATTGTCTTCCTCTATCCACCGTCAGCTGTTCTGTGCAGATATGGAGTAAGCAGTTGAGTTTAACAAAGGTTGAGTCTTGACAAATGAGTACAAAGGAAGGAGAGAGAATCCAAGGAGATGAGGGCATTTGCAAGAAGGTAATTATGATGGTAGGCCCCAGAGTCTGCTGGCTCATGGAGTCTGTGAGAATTACATGCTGATACATGAATGGCACTCATAGCCCTAGGTTACAAATGTTGGAAAGAGGTTAGCCATTTTTACTTTTACTGCCAGGGATGCAAGAAAATGAGGGACAATGCTTGGTAAACGTGGAAAGGGTCAAAGGATCTGTTGTTAGAGTAAATTTTCTGAAGTAATACCTCCCAATACGTCTCCGGGGGGATTCCCTGGTCAGGCACCCATCTCATAATGCTGACATGTAGAATCAAATTTCTAAATTCCCAGGTTCCCACTGAGCTCCCATGAGGCCTCCCCTACTTGTGAAGGTGAGATCTGCTAGAGGCTCTCTAAGTGAGTCCATCACTAACGACTGGTCTTCCAAATGAGTCCTATTCTGGTTTCTTCAGGCCTAATGGAATGGTATCATGTATGGTGGACTTAGGGGCTTGTAAGGAATCCAGTCACTACTTTTCCCAGACAAGTGACCTTCTAAATGGGTGTGCCTCCAGCAGAAAAAAAGGCACACTAACCTGTGTATTGTCTAAGACAGAGGTTTAAGTTGAGAGCACTATATCTTTAGGTTGCGTGTATGTGTGTGTGTAAAACTCCAGATTAAGTTCCTCAAAAGGTGACAATTTAGAAGTAGCCTTGATTGTTCTCTAGCTTAATCATCCATTCTCTGGAGGCCATAAACAGATGTCTCTGTTTACATTTGAATTAAATTCCTTCTAATAACATTGTGGGAGATACTAGGTAAGCTGGCTTTATACATCCCCAGGGCCAGACCATGAAAGCATTTTCTTGTCTCTCCCAGGTAAAAGCAAATTGCAATAGGTTTTTACAGATTGCAATGCTAAAGGATTGGCTGCGTCAATTTCTGCCTAACATTTGAGGGATGACAAAATTAAATCTGTCAGCTGGTGCTTTAATGATGCCTGCAACAACTGAAACCTCCTGTAATTTAAAGTGAACTGCCAGGAGCTATCAAGTTTTTTAAGTGGCCACAAGGGGGTGTGAAAGGACTACATACTCATCCTAATCATCCTTCCCCCCACCCCTTCAAATGCTTATTTAACAGTTCATCACTCCTTGGATGCCGTATGATGTTTCAGTTCAACAGTCTTGGTCTACCAAGTAGGTTGTTAGTGGGCTCCATAGTCTCATCTGAATATCGGGGTAATGTTTCCTGAGTTATTAACAAGTCAATGGCAATGAAGCACCCCGAGTGGACGTTTGTGACCAGAGTGGATGGGCCTTTTTTCTACTTTAAGGGATTATCTCTGCCCAAATCTTGACGTCTTCCCCACAGAATTTGTCACAGTTGACATGGATTGAAGTACTTTCTGATTCCATCTCCACTTTCCAGTCTGTGCGTTGTTCCTTGCCCAATGGACTCAGGAGGTGGGGTCTGGGGTCCTGATAAGAATCAGTGGAGAACACAGAGACAAACCCAAGGGTTACAGCTAGCCTCCTTCTAAGACCATTCTGTAGGCCCAGAGGCCCTTCATAACCCCCATGCTAGAGCAGACGGCTGCAGCTGAAACCCAGCTTGGGGGTCAGATCACTTAGATGCCCAGTAGGGGATTCTGGCTTTGAACTTTAGTCCTCTCTTGTGCATTGAATGCATGGCGCATCTCTCTAATTGCTTTTTGCATGAAAACAAGTCCGTAGGTTGTTCACTAGTTTGAGATGAAGGCACCACCACGATTCAGACAGTGCCCTCAGTTCACCATGACAGATCTATTGCTGCTCCTGCTGGGTTCAAATCAGACTGATGAACTAATTGGTGAGCCACCTGACCCACACTGGCACCCTCACAGCCAATACTGAGTTTAATTTGTCATTTCAGTTCTCTCTGTAGGTCAGAGAATCCCTACAGGTCTGTCATTTAGCACAATGCTTGGATTAGGAACAGCCGACAGTTTGGCATTCCCTCCTGTACAGACACTAATTCTACTCTGAATGCTTTTCCAGGAGTGAAGAAATACAGCCATTCCTCCTATTTATGACTTTTCTTTATCCAAGCTTCTGTTATCCAGATTAAAAGGGAGTTAAAGGCCTGCATAGCCACAGGAAAGAAGCAGTCAGTATTGAAGGTCCCTTACACGGCTTTGCTCCTGCTAAATTCTACCTGTTTCACTTGGCCCCTTGATCCTAGACGAGCAGTGTTGCCTGGCTGTCATCTGCCTGTCAAGCGAGGGTAGCTGGTTGCAGTCCACTGCAAATGAGGATTCCCTTGGTTTGTTACAGCAGGGCCAGGCCTTCCTGGTTTCCTTCCCACAAGGAATCCTGGCTTGGTACAGGGAATCCTCATAGGCCCAATGGAACCGGTCTGTGCGGGCAATCTAATGAGGCTGATTTTTCCTGTGCTGTAATTATCCACTTCTTTAGCTGCAGCCCAGCTGGTGACAGGTGGCACACACAAGTCTGTTACCATTCTGTATTTCTCAAGCTATTTTGGTTAACTGCCATCCCAACTGGGACTAGAAGTGTTCTTCCATATGATGAGAACTGCCGCCCTTCTCCGATGGTTCAGAGGGCAGCCACTATTACTCAAGTTCCTAAGCAGGTAGAGCAGACTGCTTCCCCAGGCTTTCCTGTGCCTCAGGGCAGCCAAGATTGAAGGGCAGAGGACATCATTACTAGCAGCACTTTACTCCAAACCGTGCCTCTACCAAAGGTCAATTTCCTAATGGCTTCACCAGGACCTCTGGCAAGTCAAGAGGTTCAGGGCCAAATCTATTTGTCCTCTACTTAACATTCTCCATTTTGCACCCTGCAAGTACAAACCACTAATGAACCTATAAATCAAAATCTTCCCACATGGGAGAGTTTGGCTAGTTACTTTTGTTGCATTTTAAAGACAGTCTGTTTTCCCGCCTCAGTTACACAATGCCACCTAGTCCCTTTTTGCCCCTGAAGCAGACAAGAGCTGAGCAGTCAGCCCTGCTCCAATGCTCTCAGGTACCTCTGAAGTTCCCAGACAGCTTTCCCACGAGGGTGATATTCCAACTTTATCCTTTGGCTAGTCTCAGTAAAACTGCAGAAATCTGTAGAGATTCTTAATTATGTCCTTTATTTCCATTGCATTGCTCAAAGACAAGAAGGAAGGAAAGGGTACATGATCTGTTCTTATTAAAGGATGGAACCTGCCCCTACAGGTGACAAGTCCAATCAGGTGTCTAGGGCTCACAGACTTAAGTTGCTCCTCACAAAATCCAGCAAGAAGTCTTGCTCAAGGCTTTTGATCCCATCCACTGGGAGTGGCCTGACACATGATGCAATGACTGAGAGCTTATCTGTGGGTGCCAAGATGAGGGGCTTTGTCTTCCCATCTACGAAGCTTCCCTTGTCTACCTTCTTTGTTCAGTCAGTCTCTCTTAATAGACAATTCTTTTCTGGGCATTAGCTTGGCTCTCAGTAAATGACAAGGCAACACCTGAATGCATACGTTCAAGTCAGCTTCTGCTTTAGCATTTTCATAAACTACTGCCATGGCACCTTTCAACTAGAGGTGGAATCATGACAAAATGTTACAGGAAGAAAAGTAAGGGTTTCCCAGGAAGTTGGAAAACTCTCCCAAACCTCTGCATCTTCTTGGTCAATTATATTGATGTTTTTCAGAAATGACCTTAACAACATTGGCACTATATTCTGGTGTACTCACTTCTTAATAGTCTCATTCTTTCTGGGAGGTAGGACGGGATGAGAAAACAAAACCTGTTACTTAGGTGTCTTTCAGAGGTAAACTCTGCAGGGGCTGATTTTGTTGTTCCAAAAGCACTATCAAGATAGGGGCAAGGGTTCAGCTGGTACAGAATGTAATGACCCAAGTGAGAGAGGTGTCTCACACCATCATTATCCTACTGCATTAACCTAAAAAGTGTGCACTTGCAGGTGCATTTGTCTTGGCTAAATAGTTTTAATGACATGGCTGGTATAACTGAGCAAATAATTACTACTCAGTAAAAAGTAGAAGTCTGGAACTCAAAATAAACTGCAGAATTCTCATAATTAAGAACTGTAAATCATACTATTTCTCATACCACTCCCAACCACCATGCATTATCACTTGTGGCTCTCACTTCCTTTAGTGGCACACACACACCAAACCATGATGTAGCGAAAGAACATGGCTTTTCTGGCTGGAAGCCCTGGGCTGGCATCCTAACTCTGTCACTTCCTGGCATTCTAGTGAAGTTAACCTGAACCCCAATGTTCTTTCTGTAAGACAGCGATACCACCTACTCATGCACACTTGCAGGGCAGTGTCTGTAACTAAATTTTACGTCAGAAGCCTACAGTATTATCTGGCACTTAAGGACAGACTTAAGTTGGCAGCCCAGTAACATAACCAATAAAAATATATAAAAGAATTCTATGTGCTAACACTCAGGGTCAAACTATATGCCATTCTTTTAAAAAATTTAACATACATTCTGACAAATTCTTGGCTCTGCTTGAGTTTACACTCCTGTTTGTATGCTTATTTTTAAGTCAGTAAATGAAGAACACAAACTACAGGTAAGAAAGTTCTCCTTGAGCTTTGGGTTTAACAGCAGCTGAAGCTAATTAGAAAGAATACTTGCTGAATGAGAACTCCAATTATGAAAGACAAAACATATGTGTATCTTACTTGCTTAGATCTGGGAACCTAACTGCTCACAAAAGGATTTGTATTTTTTTTTATTGTTAAGCTGCAACATACATGGTTTAATACAACAAAAAACATTTAATCAAGTGAAAAGTAATAAACTGAACAGTAACAAATAAACACTCAAAACAAAATATTTTCCATTGGAAACATGTTAAGATGAATACGGGGCTGTGTTACCATCTTACCGCAATTTTCTTATGTGTTACTAGCCTACATACCCCATGTTTTCTGGAATCATGCAGATGTGAATGGAAGTTTGAATGATTAAATAAATGAAAAGTCCATTTACTGCAGAGAATCATCTCACAAGGCAGCCAGACTGGGTTTAGAGAACAAAATTATTCAAGAAATTCTCCACGTATTTAGGTTCATTTTAGAATCCATGAACCTTAAGCTGTTCCTCCTTGACAATGCCAACCTGCAAAATAAAATTTTATTTAGCAAAATCACTCTAAGGAATATATAAAGTCATGCCTAAGAAAACACGGAGTAGTCACTAAAAAGAGTCCTTGTTAATAACTTGTTGCAACACTATTATTTGTAGCATTAACTGTTAATAACAAACAATTCACATATTTGAATACCATGTCCTATCAGAAAACACTGTGTAGATACAGGAATGATCAGGTCATTCTAATGGTAAAAACCTGATAAAGGTCCTACTGCCTAGTTAATAAGTACCAACTCTGTATTTCACTAACTAAAATACTTCATTCAGATGATTTTTTACTAAGCAGGAAATAATTCACGGTGCCCTCAAATACAATTTTAGGAGCAATCTCAAGGTTATACATAAAGCACCCAATCACTCACCTCCAAGAGAAACTGGCAAATGTTTTTCCTTTGGTCACCTTGAAGCTGAATAACCTCTCCGTATTCGGGATGTTCAATCACAGTACCATTACAGGCAAATTTCTGGAGAAGTATATAAATGTTCAACATAGCTGAGTTAAATACAGTGAGGCTTTACTTTCACCCTAAGACTAAAATTAACGATTTCAGTAGGCTTGATTACATTTAAGAAACAGGTTTTGGCTCTTGTGATGCCCAACACTCCCAGATTAACTTAAACATGAATCAGCAGGTCCTATAAAGGAAACGATTTTACCTGGAACATCAAATACTAAATATTTCACTTTTACTTTGCTTGAAAGGAAAGTAAACCCTATTCTAAGATGAGAGACCAGACATAAATATCTGGGTGTTAAGAGAATGAATGCAGCTTTCTTGGGTCCAATCGGTGTCACCCACACTGATAAAGTCAAGTAAAGGTGTAAGCCACAATCCTATTCCGAGGCGTGCATCAGTAACTATATTTTAATCTCTTCTTCCTAACACCTTTACCTTTTTGAAAGCTTTCACAAGTTTCTTTTTGTCATAATCATCTGCAATGCCCTGAACAGTAGTCAGCGTCTTTCTGCCGTTCCGTTGCTGGATTCTTATATGAATGTAATCCTCAGTCCCTGCCGGGAGTAAGTCGTCACCCTTAGTTGCATCAGCAAAGGGGTCTGCAAAGGGATACAAAAAATTTCAAAGCAGAAAAACATCTTTTAGTAAATAATTTGCAGATACAAAGTAAGATACAATCTAGACAGTCAGCTAAGAAGGTTCTAGTGCCTATGCTTTTTCTGCGGGTGGGGATGGGGGTGGGGTATTCATAAAACCTCCAAGGTACTCTCACAAGAGAAATTTAAACAGGGATGTCCATTGATATTTGAACAGACAAACGTGGTGACAGGTAGATACTGTTATCGTCGAACACAGTTTTCTAATGAAACATTTTAGAACCTTAATTTTATAGCCACTGTAAAAACGTGCGTCATCTCGATTACATTCTGACAACAGAAACATTCAAACATGCCCACCCCAATCATTGAACCGTAATTGTGCTTTGCAAAAAGTAAAGTAATATCTACCCCCATCTATCAAGAGGCGTAATTTCATGAATTACTACGCCAGAAGAGAAGACTGGACGCCTGCCCTGTGACAGATCGGAGGCCTGGACCCGCTTCTTTTACTAAATGCCCCCACGAGCTGCTCCAAAACAGATCCGCCTCTAATGGACGCCGAGCCCCGAGCCCCCCGGCCCGGCGGCGCCCTCCGAGCAGTGGGGCAGGTCCGGGAGCCGCGGAGCAGAGGTGTCAAAGGGCAGAAGCGAGGCAGGGGCCGGGTCAAGGTCCGGGCAGGGCGGCGGGGTCTGCGGCCGTCCTCGGGGAGAGGGTCGCCGGGGGGCCAGTCGCCATTTTCCGGGCGCCGAGACAAAGCCCCACTCGGGGTGCGGGGAGGGCAGAAGGGGGCCCTCGGGGGCGGTGGTCGCGGCGGGTGGCCAGCCGGCCGGGAGGCGCGCGGGGGAAGGGAGGGGCGGCGGCGATCCGGTCTTACCGAAAGATTGGAGGTTCTGGATAGTGGACATGCGATACTAGTGTGAGGCCGGAGAGGGGGTAAAATTCCTGCGGGGCCCGCCCGGATCAGAGTCAGGAGGCTGTAGCGGCGAGAAAACGGAAATAAATAAGGAAACGGTGCACCCGGGGGCTGGGATGCGCTGGAGCGGCGGCGGCGGAAGCCGGGAGGAGGCAGGAAGAGGCGAAGGAGGAGGCGGAGGAAGAGGCGGCGGCGACGGACGCGAGGACGCGAGAGAAGAGGCGGCGCTGCGGCTTCTCCCACAAAATGGCCGACGGAGGCTATTTAGCCGCGCCCGCCGCCCCTCCCACGTGACCCTCCCGCGCCAGGCAACCTGGGACTTGTAGTTTTGCCCGAGGCGACGAAGCCTGGAAAGCCGGGGCCCGGCAGGCTTCCGCGACCGCAAATCCCAGCAGGCAGTGCGCCCTTCAGCGCCGGCCCCAGGGCCGGGAAGGGTCCAGGAGGCTGGGATTTATCCGGTCAGAGCTCGCGGGTCTGGAGCTGCTGGCTCGGTGTCCTCACTCGCTGTTCCTTGACTTCTCTTCTCTCGCCGTACAGTGGCGGCACCGAGGAGTCGGTGCTGGGGGGATAATCTCCATTAGTCACCCTCCATGCTCGGGGTAATGTAAGTCAAATCGGGGTGCAGGAGCAAAACAAGCCCCTTAGCCTCGGCTTTCGACTCGTCGGCCGCGCCTCAGCACTTCCTGCATCATTTCACTCCTCCCTAACCCTCGTCCGCTGCAGGAGCCGTGTTAGTCACCACGAACGCTAGAGGTGGGCGCCTCCGGCCCAGGGTGGGGCCCCCCTCCGATTCCCAAGCGCGGTGGTTCTCAAGCTCCAGCGTGCATCTCCCGGAGGACTTCATAAAACACAGATTGACAGACCCCGGAGTTTCCTTTTCAGGAGGTCTGGGCTCTGACCCCAGAATTTGCAAATCTAACAAGCTGCCAGGAGATGCAGATGCCGCTCATCTAGGACCATGCTTCAGAACCACTGCCCAGCTTCCCCAGGGGCCTGGCATCCAGTAGGGCCAGGTAATACCAGAAAACCAGCCTGTCAACCTGAACACAGAACTTTGAACAGGATGGGCGTCAGTTATACGTGGAAGATGAGCTCAGCAAGTAGGTTAATTGATAGTCAGGTATCACAACTGTAATCTTTCTCTCAAGCTACACACACAGAAAAACAAACCTGAGACTTTGGGAATGGGCTCACCCAGGCAGTTGCTTAATTGTCAAACTTGGTTGGCTTTCTGGAAGCAAAGAGATAGACTAAAATTTAGGGATTCTTAACCTTTTTTTCAGTGTCAAGGCAGTCTTGTGAAGCCTATGGACCTTCTCAGAATACTTTAAGTAAATAAACGTAAGATTACGAAAGAAACCAATCATATTGAAATTAGAAACAGTATATTGCTAACACAGTATTGCTTCTTTACTAATACATTAATTAACAAGATCTAGCAGCAGATCTACTAATTACCATAATTTCAGAAAGGCGATACATGATATTTTGAGTTGTCTGTAACATCAGAAATGTAATATGAAAATATCCGTGGCTTCTAATGGTGCACAGTGACAGATCCTAAGACTACTGTGATATTGCCAGCATTCATGCTGGAGGAGATGCTAAATTTTGCTTAGAGGTTAGTGGAAATTTAGCTGTAATCTGTTTTCCCCATCCAGTTTTAGGGATTCCCCCCATCCTGCAGTTTTATCCATGGACCAAGGATCTGCAGATCCCAGGTTAAGAATACCTGGATTTAATCATCTTTTGTGATTAATGATGATGATAGGTACCATTCATTGAGAGCTTCTTGCCTGATGTAAGGTTTACAGACAATATTATTAATCTTCATAACCATTCTATGATGTAGTTATTACTCTGTTTAACATGTAAAAATGGAAGCTTTCGTAGTTTCAATAATTTGCCTAAAAAAATCAAATTCTTAACTCTCAGGAATCTAACTAGATTTTTGGTCTTCTAGTCCTGATTTAAATGAGTAACACTTTTCTTATCCAAACGAAGGTGTAAAGTTTTAGAGCTGGTTCATAAACAGGGAGAGTCAAAAATCTTTTTGTTGTTCATTTGTTGATTACAGCTACAATGATTCCCCTTTTTTGGTCTTATACCTTTATAAGCATGCTTTAAAGTAATTTTTGATACTATTCCAGATGAAGTACAGAATAAACACAACACATCTCTATTTCTGTTTTCTTTCTTTCTTACTAGATGTCCATAACCATTTTATATTACATTGTTTCTCAGAAGGAACCAAGGGTGGTTCAGTGAAGAAAAAAATAAGCATAGAGAAGTTAAAAAAAAAAAAAATCCAAAAATCTTGGGGTTTTCACGGTCATTACCCGTCAGGAGAAGTGATCCTTTCTTAGACCTAATGTTTGCATCAGAAACCCCCAGGGGCTCAGAAGTCTTCGATCAAAGCCAAATATGTTAGATCCAATTGTGATTATGATCTTTAAAAGTCTTCTGACTTTTTGGTCGTTCATAGCCTTTGGGTTTAGACCTACACTGTCCAACATAGGAACCACTAGCCACATGTGGCCATTGAGCACTTGCAATGTAGCTGGTCCAAATTGAGACATGCAGAAGTATAAAGTATGCACTGGCCTTTCAAAGACTTAAATTGTCTCAATTTCTTTTTGCTTTTTTACATGTGGCTACTAAAAAAAATTTAAAATTACATGTGACTCACAAACTATTTCCATTAGATAGCGCTGGTTTGGAGTGAAAGAATTTGACCTATATCTAAAGTTATCATAAGAGAAATAACCTAAAGCATTTAAAACCTGGTATTTTTAGTTCTAAATGGTACCAACCTAGCTTAAGGTGATTATTTCCTGCCTTATTTCAGAAAGGAGTTTAGCTCACTTGCAGAGAACAGTAGTATTGACTAAAGGAATCAGGGAAGGTAAATTTCAAGTAGAATAATTGAAAATTAAAAGCTCCCAAAGCTAGAGGTAGACCCAAATCTGGTTCTTAACTTCCTAATGGTTAAGGCAAAGAGAAAATTAGCTAGAAAATCCACACGTCTATAGGGTGAAAACATACCAGTTGCGCAGGAGGAATGACTTTGCCTGGCCCTGAGCCACAGGAGATGTTTTTCCTGGGTCCTCATAAAGGGGACACTGTGATGTAGTGGGCAGCATCCCTAGCAGTTTGCCTACCCTGGAGACAATGCTGAGTTTTATGCAGCTGTTTCTCATATCTGCTAGTCATGAAGACATGTTCTCTGGTTAGAACCCTGGGTCCTCCTCTGTCCAAAGGTTGCCCACTGAGGGGGGGCATATGATAATACGTCTCAGATTTCCTGCTTCAGTAGGCATAATTGACCAATGGCCCCAGCTGCTGTACTCTGAATTCAGCATTGCATCCTGCTGAGCCTGCGCTTCCAACCGGCTGCTCTCAGCAGATGACTGAGCCTAACAAGGATCCTAATGCAGGCCCGTTCTTGAGAGACGTGGGACTCCTTCAGTGGGGGGCTTTCCTCAAGACTCCGTTGGCCTGGCTGAACTTTCTTAGAGCTGTGCTAAAGTCTAAGACTCTTTTTAGTCAGTTCTTCTTTCCTCCCTCCTTCACAGGGTAACCTCTTCTGGCTTCATCCGCTTTCCTTCACAGGTGTTACCCCCAATGAATCTCTTGCACATCTAATCCTCTCTTGATGTCTGTTTCTCCAAGGACCCAAACTGATACACCTAACTCCATACTGGGTGGAACCAAAGGGCTATTCTTGTGAGATTTGGGAGGTAGAAAGAAAGAAGCACTTTTGTAGCTGACTCACCTCAATGGAATAAAGTAACATCTGGGCTTGCAACTACTCTGCCTTCCCTGATTCTCCTTCTGTTTTTCTTACTCATGAGCCAGGTCTGTGTTTTTAGCTCCATGAAAAAGAACCGCAGCTTCTGCAGAATACTCTTGCACCAAGTTCAGAAACAACAAGAAAGGACATAGGTTTCAGTCCATCCTCACAGGTTTCCATTTCATGCTCATAGGGTTCCTGCTTGCTTGGATCTTCTCATCCTGACTTTCCCTTACGGACATCCTTCCCCGTGGACTCTGCATCAGAGATACCGCCTTACAGAAGCTGCTTAACCAGCCCTCATAATTGCATAAGCCAATTCCCTGTAACAAATTCTTTTCTGTATATTTGTATGCGTTGATTCCCTGTAACAAATTCTTTTCTGTATATTTGTATGTTTTCAACCAGAGAAGCAGGACTACAATGTGCTTAGCATTCTTCCAGGTGTTGTGACAAGATACGTATGTTGAATCAATTAGGAGTCATTCAATATGTGCTGTAGGTCAAAGGTTGCAAATATAGGCCCACCCACTATTTTTAAAAAGGTGAATTTGCTGTCATATTTCATATGAAAATTTAGATTTATTTATTCTCCTAAGAAAAAAAATGTGAGTTTCTAGCTTATCTTTAAAAAAGTCAGAAAAGCTGGTAGCATTTGCTCTACTTTGGAAGAGGGATGGGTTCTTGAATTTGTCACAATACCTGCTATTTCCTATTATCTCTTTAACGTGGAGGCTGTGTCCACTGCCATTGCTGTTATCACTTGCCTGGAATACCACTTGCGTGACTAACTGCTGGTGGCATTTGGTTCTTAGCCTCTTGCTATAGATTTAGAAAAGGCATTATAGATGCTTGCATGCATTTTCTTGAGCTCAGAGCTTCCTAAGAGTCAAGGGGTGGGAGGAAGAAATGAGATGGATTTGAAAATGTAAGGCGGACTTTGAAAAAGAATCTATAGTTGGATATTAAAAATAGATGTTGAGAGGGAAGTATTGATCAGAGGGGGATTTCACAAAAGGAATCTGTAAGAAGAGGAAAGGGTATCAAGGTCAGTAGAAGGAAAATTAGTGACCTTTGGTAAAGATAGACAGATAGCTACATGAAAGGAAGGAAGGAAGGAAAGGAAAAGAAAAAAAAGCAAAGGGAGAAAGAACAGGGAGACAGGGCAGGCAGGGTGTTCTGTGGAAAGAATTGCATCCATGTGACAACAAAAGTGAGGAAAGCCAGGACACAACGGACACTGACCCGAGTAGAGTTTAGGTCTTGGTCAAATAGAGGCCCACCCATTGTTTTTAAAAAGGTAATTAGCTGTCACATTTCATAAGAAAATTCCCATTTCTGTCTTCACTTAAGAAAAAAGTCTACATTTACAGCTTATCTTTAGGAAAAGATCATTCAAGGCTGATCTGTAGATACTTCGCTTCTGATTGCCCAGGCAGTGGGACTCCCTCCTTATGTTGTGGAATTATGATGAAAAACACCACCCAACAAATTAAGAAAATATTCAAACGAGGTGGAGCCAAATGTGACCTAGACTGTTCCACCTACATTTTGAGAAGAGTTAGTGCCAAGTCAATGGTGAAGTCTTGAAGGAAAGAATTTGTGTTTTGTATTAAAAAATTAAATTGTATTCCAAAGTTAAAACTTTTGGCTTGAGAGAACGTCTGGTGCTGCAGAGTTTTTGGTTCATCTTCTGACTTGGGTTAGTGTGGCGCACATAGTAAATCATGTAGTTGCCATTCTCATTGTTTTGCTGTTCTGTTCACTGGAATTTGTGGCAGAGATTGCTAGTTGCTACCTGATATCTATTCTCCCCTTCTTTCTTAGTAAAACAGCATCCCAGTTTTATTCTAGTTTGCAATATGCCCAGCTAAAAGACTGTATACTACGTTTCACAACTTTCCTTGCTAGATGTGGCCAATGAGACGTAGGTGGAAGTATTGAATGGGTTTTCCAAAAGATCACTTAAAGGAAGCTGACTCAGTTTGGAAAAGTGCCCATTTTGCTCTTCTTTCTCCTTCCTCGCTGTTGCCTGGAATGCAGGCATGATGCTGGAAGTCCAACAGCCATCCTGGACGATGAGGTGACCTTGTCATACAGATATGCTGTAGCTGATGAGGCAGAATGATAGAGGGAGCCTGGGGCCATGGAGTGCTTGTCTCTGGACTTGTTATGTGACAGTAGAAACCTCACATGTTTAAACTGTGCTGTTTTGGGTTTTCAATTAAATGGAGCTGAACCTACCCCTAGTCTGAGAGCACTGCTGCCCGAATGGAAACCCCAGGACTCTGAGAAGCTGGGCATGCACTTTCCTAGTGGCCGGTGTTGGAGTTGTCTATGGCTTGGATTATACTTTCTATCCTAACCATGACCCAGGAGAGTTGAGCCAGCTCAATGAGGGTTGTAGGAGGACACACTAGAAACAAACTGGCAGTACTTTGTGTCTCCTCGAACTTTGGAGGCCATGTGGCAGGGCAGATGCCCACTAACTGTCTTGGGCTCATCACATCTTTGCAATAAACAATGATGACAGTGTTCTACAGATTTTTAAAGAGAAGAGTTGATCAAATGTAGCATTGTTTATTGAAGCCTTGTAAACAACGCACTTGGAGTCTCACCATGAAACTGGAAGTAGAGTTCCTGAAACTCAAGTTTAAAAAGTCTTAAATAAACATTCTTTGGCTTTTTGTAATTTGGTTGTAAATGTTAAAGGGTTGACATCCAGCTGGTGTACATCACTGTATCCATACAAGTTGTTAAATTGCTAAAATATGTTCATGCTGGTTGGCAAATAGCTACTGCCCAACCTCCCCAACGCCTGGCTCCTTCTTTTGGATATCTCAGGCCACTGCATGAACCAGCAACTAAAAGACCAATCCCTGGCAGCAGGGGCCTTCCTGGATTAAGTCACTATCCACTTTAAAGTTGGGCAGTTGTACCCACAGTGTTCATTTTCCCAGCAATGTGTTCGTTGCTGTCCAATATTTGTCCATAGTTTGATTGAAATGGTATAGAGGGTCTTGCTCTAGATATTCCAGAGTCCAGCCCTGGGTCCAGTCAGGTCAGCAGAGAAACTGAGAGTGCGTATTTTATTTCAGTTAGCTCCTGCCGCCTCTCACCCTCTTGAGAACTGGTCTTGCTGAATTGTGTTGCAGGGTGATGTTATCAGCACGTGCTGAGAGACAGGGAAGGAAACAGCACAAATGACCCATCGTTGTCTATCTTGTAGAATGTTGTTAAGGATGTGGTTTTTATATCACAATGTCTATTTATAAGAATCCTCAGAGAAATGCCTAACTGGGTTTAGAAGTAAGAATAGTTGTGTTACTCCAGGGAGGCTGTTTTCTTTTTAATCGTATAAACCTGTTTATAAGTATTTCCAGTTTTCCCTTCTCCCTGTCTTTGTAAGTATACTTACAAACATTCTGGAATGAGGCAGAGAAGAAAGGAAGGGAGAAAATGTTTAAATAAAGTTATGAAAAATCAAAGCACATAATCAAAGGAACCTAAATACACAGGCATTTTGCATGTTTTTCTTCAGTGGAATTTCAATATTAGCTTATCACAGATTTATACTGAGTAATAATTATGAAACTCAATTTTCTAAGCTCTGGAATAAAAAAATAACTAACTGAAGGGGATATTCTCTTTAAAGTCACATGTCCACAGACTTCTAAACTCTTCCTTTTACCATTATATTTTTACAAATAAACACTTGAGCACAGTTAAGGCTTTGCAGAACGAAATTTGGAAACTTTGCTTTAATTCCAAGGTAGACACAATAAACATGTTTTTGTAGGCTCTGTCCCAGTTTGCCTTTTGCCAAACAGGGAAAGTCTGTTCTTCATAATTTTCATAAACCCATAGACGTATCCAAGTACTGTGTCTTCTGGGATTACCTTTTCCTTCTTTCCTTTTTTTAATAAACTGATTCAAATCTCATCTCATGTAACTCTGGGCTGTTCTGTGCCCTACCTACGATTTCCAAGGGTTCCCAAGAGGCCGATGTTCTCCTGGTCGTCTCCTACCTTAAATTCTTACTCTGGTTGGATTCTTTGGCCCAAAGATAACCATCCTTCCTCCTCCCTTACTCCCCAAAACATTACTAACACAGGGTTATAGTGTGTAGCACTTTCATGGAAAAACTGGCAATAACAGAAGAGGCTACAGCATTACACAAACTGGGGATCACCTTCAAGTTCACTGTTCTGCATCATTGCCTCTTTCTCCTGAGGCCTCTCCTGCTGCCATGTTGCTGGACCCTCCTCCTGGCCCTGTTTTTTGAACAACAGAACCGTTCACTAGGGGAAGATTAAAATTTTCTGGTAGTTTACCCTGCAGAGGGATTTAACTGCCTCCCTCATCCCACTGCCCATCTCAGACTAGAGACCTTTCTGTGCTGGAGTCTCCAATACCAACAATACCAAACAGCAACAGTGTTTTACATTCTATTTTGATTTAAGTTGTGGCAAAGCAAATTCTTGGAGACGATTCTCTCTCCACCAACCAAGACCCACGGATTCTGGGGAGCTTATGATTTGTGCGGAGGAATCTGGATCCTCTAGTACAGTAGATACCCTTTTATGAGGTGTTATTGGGCTGTTAGTAGGGTAACTAGCCCAGAAAGTCAGTTTATACAAAGATTCCTGACAATGATAGGCAATTATGTTTTATATTTTATTAAAATATGTAATTTGATAATCTTTTGATGTTGGGCTAAGGCCTTTTTTTTTTTATCATTGGCTTACTAATTGGAGTTCTCTGGTGTCATAAATTCTACCTGTAATCATTGGTTTCAGTGTCTTATTTTTGTTTATTTAAAGTAAAATAAGAACTTAGATTTTTCAAGCAATCAGTGCAAAATCCATCTAGATTTTTATGACTATTCCCAATCAATATTTGTCTCATTTGCACCTTACTTGACCATAATTTTCTTGAGCAATTCGCTTTTATCTGATTTTTTCAAAGTAGTCAATTTATTTATCCCAGAAAGGACAACCGTCTTTCTTTTTGGACTCATTTAATCATTTTCATTATGTTTGAATTAGGTAATTAACATGTAAACCAGCATAAACAGATTTGGGAGCAAACATAACTGACTCCTGGTAAGCATGCGTTTCACGTTGTGGAGACAACAGTGGTACAAGGGCCCAACCAGGCAGCAGCATGCGGGGTGGGTGATGCTCTACAGAAGAAGGATATCAGCTAGTTTGGAGAGTTGGTGATGAAGATCCATCGTGAGAGCAGATCAATGTTAGTAAGCAAAGGCCCAAGGGCTGGCTCCACCTGCCAGGTATATGGCTTCAGGGATGCAACATCATCTCTCTGAACCTCAATTTCATCTTTAAATGATAAAAAAAAAAAAAAAAAAAAGAATATTTGCCAAACCTACTTGCTAGGAAAGTCAAATGAAATAATTTATGTAAAGCCCTTTTGAAGTAGTAAAATGCTGTATAGCTTTTGCCACTATAGGTTTTATTTTATTCACAGTATTTGATAGCTGTGGGGAAGTATTTTCTTGGAGTCTCCTCTACCTTTTCCCTGTTCATGATGACTGATATTCCGGATTTTTAGCTTAATGGGAACTATATGTGAAGGGGAAAGGCCAAGTGACCTGTAGATTGTTGTCCTGGAAATGAATTGTCTTTTACCAAATATAAATCACAGCCTTTTCTATATTTCAGTTTAAGAGATAAATTTGGCTCCAATCAGAACTGAGGACATGTGATGGTTGACCTGGCAGTGTCACGGCTCCCAAACGGAAACAAGCATTGTTCCCTGTACTAGACGTATGTTTCAACTCTTGATCCTTAAGACTCTGATGGTGTTTTTTAAACATACAGCCATCCTGGCTAAAAATGTCCAAACCAGACTGTTTTTATACATATTGTTTCATTTAATAAAGGTAAATAAAGTAGATGTTATTATTATCTTAATTTTATGTAGAAGGAAGTTGAGGCTAAGGGGATTAAGACTCTTGTTCAGGCTCACACAACTTGTGGTAAGTGCTGAGACTTGGATCCAGGGCTTCTGATTCCAAATCTTGTAATGGTTCCTACTCAAAAGCTCTCAAATCCTCTGAGAGACAGAAATTGGATAAATATACCCAAATGCCTCACAGAACTTATTATCATGAGTGCTTAATTGTTATATTAGCAATTCGTGATATAAATGAAATGCTGGAAACATAAGGTAGGAAGGATTTAATTCTTTTATTTATCATTGAAAATAGTGGAATTCTGTTAAAGCAAAACACATTATTATGAATATTTGCATAGGCTAAAAGTAAAATCATGTCGCCAGAAACCTACATACCTACAGTGGGAACGTGAATGATAGCTCATTAAAAGTAACAATGATAATCAAGGGTTACACTATCTCTAAAGAGAAGAGAATAGTAATTGGCTCAAGATGGCAAACTCAGCATCTTTACCATGAAAAAGCCCCTAAAAATGTCAGAAAAGATATATTTTGGGGAAGAATAAATCCAGCACTGGACAATAAGGATGTACCATCAATGGATCAGACATTTCCTCTTGTGAAGGAAAAAAATAGATGGAAATCAACTGACAGAGGAAACTGCGTGCTTAAACACTGGCACCACTGGGTTCTTGAAGATCATGGGATAGCTTTAAGATTCTGAGATTTTGAATCTGAAATTCTATAGTTAGGCAAAATAATATGCAAGAAGGAAGGCAAAATAAAGGCATTTTCAAAACAGTCAAGAACTCAGAAAATGTACTCTCACAGATGATATTGATGACACACTCCAGAAAAATCACAAACCTAAAGAAGAGAAAGACATGAGATATAAGAAATATAGGTATATAAAGAAATCAGTAAAAATTGTAGTTATATCTGAATCATATTGGTATGTAATAAGAGTGAAATGTTTTATGGGTAATTTCTAGAAGAATAGAAATTTCATGCATTTTTCAATCCGACAAAAGGCAGGAAAAGGGATAATAGAGCAACAAGAAATCATATAGTAAATTAAAAACATTAAATCATAATAAAGAAGTAAAATGTACATAATTATCAGTAATCACAAAAAGTGTGAATGTTATGTTTTTCTATTAAAAGGCAACCTCTTTGATTTCCATTAAAAGTGGTTGAAAAACTTCATCCAGCTGCTATTTATGACACATTTAAGGTCAAATGACAATGAGAGATTCAAGAAGTTATTGCAAGCAACTGCCAGTTGAAAAGTAGGGTGTAACAATGTTATTATCAGGAAAAATGAATTCCGGAAGAATCACATTAAACAGGACAAAGAAGAATAGTTCATATAGATCAAAGTTATGTTAAGCCAAGAATATGAGTCATGAACTTTTATGTTCCTAACACCTTAGCAAAATGCACATAAAGCAAAAAGGAAAAGAAAAATATGGAGAAATTGAGAAACTTGCAGTCACACAGTTAACACAACTGTTGGGATACAGCAGCACATCTGTTTCAGAAACAGACGTAAAGTAAACAAAAATTAAATAAATAGATATTTTTAATAATGCAATTAACACATTTGGCCCAATAGACATATGTAAAACTCTGTACCCAATGTAAAACATACCAATTGTTTTCAAACACCTATGACATGTTATGCGTTATTTCATGAAGAGAATCTCCACAAAATTTAAAATGTAGAAATTATATAGGACATAGTCTCTGATCAAAATTCAATAAATTAGCTATTAACAAAAGAAGGTAGCCAAAAGAACTTACTTGGAAATTTAAGAAAGTGTGTGCTTGTAGTTAATTTTTGGATTAGATAGGAAATCAAAACTGAAATTATAAATTATTAAGAAATTAACAAAGAAAGCAAAATTCATCTACTTAGGGAATGTAGCTAAAGCAGTCTTAGGGAAAAATTTATAGCATTGCTTGTACTTATGAGGAAATATGGAAAATAAATGAACCATACTTTGAACTCAAAAGTTAGAAAAGGAGCAACAAAATAAGTCCAAAAATGTGAAAAAAACAATAAAGAGAAAAGCAAAAGTTAATATGCTGGGAAAAATCAGTAGTGATCAATATAATTTACTGATAAGTAATAAACCAAATTTTGTCCTTTTAAAAGACTGTTAAAATAGACAAAACGGTGGTCAAGAAAAAGGGAGAAGACTTATAAAGATAACCTTGATAATAAGGAAGAGACATAACTATAAATACAGATGACTTTTTAAAAATTATGTCAATTCTTGTCCTTATAGGAATAAATTTGAAAATCTGGATGCAAAGGATGATTTTCTATAAATTCCTATAATTTATTTACACGAAGATAGACGGTAGAAAAATATCCTTTTCTGAAAAAGAAACTTGGCCCAAATAGTTTTACGGTCAAGTTCATCAAACATCAAAATTTGCATGTTACATAAAACTTTCCAAAGCATAGAAATAGATGGAAAGCTTCCCAACTTATTTTATAATTCTAAAAGCAAAGATGACATAAAAGAAATACTTTATAATAGCATCAAAAATAATCAAATACTTAGCAATAAATTTAACAAAATAAGTGAAAAACTTATACTCGTAAAACTACATAGCATTCTTGAAAGAAGTTAAACTAAATAAATGGAAAGACATCTGATGTTCATGGATCAAAAGACTTACTATCGCTAAGATGATAATGTTCCCCAAATTGAGCTACTGATTCAACACCGTACCCATCAAAATCTCAGCTGGCTTCTTTGCAGAGATTGAAAAGCTGATCCTAAAATTCGTAAGGAAATGTAAGAGACCTAGAATAGCTAAAACAATCTTGAAAAAGAATAGCAAAGACTCTCACTCCTCATTTGAAAACTTACTACAAAGCTACAGTAGTCAACACAATATGGGACTGGTGTAAGGACAGACATCTAAATCAATGGAGTAGAACTGAGAATCCAGAAATAACCCCTTACATTTATGGTCAATTGATTTTTTGACAATGGCGACAAGAAAATTCAATGAGGCAAAGAATAATCTTTCAACCAGTGGTGCTGGGACAATTGCATGGAATTCACGTGCAAAAGAATGAAATTGAACTCTAACTCTCACCAAACACAAAAATTAACTCAAATGAGTCATAGACCTAAATGTAAGAGCTAAAACTATAAAATTCTTAGAAGAAAACATAGGTATAAATCTTTGATTAGGCAATGATTTCTTAGATTTGATTCCAAAAGTACAAATAACCGAATAAAAAATAGATAAATTGGACTTCATCAAAATTAAAAACTTTTCACTTAGAAGGACACCATCAAGAAAGTGAAACAATAAATCACAGAATGGGAGAAAATATTTGCAAATCATATATCTGATAAGAGAGTTGTATCCAGAATACATAAAGAACTCTTACGACTCAATAATAAAAAACAACACAATTAAAAAATAGGAAAGGATTTGAATAGATATTTCTCCAAAGAAGATGTACAAATGGCCAATAAGCACATGAAAAGATGCTCAACATCATTAGCCATCAGGGAAATGCAAATGAAAACCACAATAAGATACCACTTCATACCCACTAGGATGGCTACAATCAAAAAGACAGATAATAATAAGTGTTGATGAGGATATGGAGAAATTGGAACTTTCATACACTACTTGTAGGACTGTAAAATGCTGTGACCCTTTTAGAAAACAGTCTGACAGCTCCTCGAGAGGTTAAACATAGATTGATCTCATGACCCACCTATTCTATTCCAAGGTATATACCCAAGAGAAAGGAAAACCTATGTGCTCCTGAAAAGTTGTACAGGAATGTTCATAACAGCATTATTCATAATAGTAAAAAAGAGGAAACCACCCAAATGTCCATTAACTGATGAGTGAATAAACAACCTTTGTTATATACATACAACGGAATATTATTTAATCATAAAAGGAATGATACATGCTACAACATGGATGAACTTCGAAAACATGCTAAGGTGAAAGAAGCCAGTCACAAAGACCCTATTATATGATTCCATTTATGTGAATTACACAGAAGAGACAGAAATTAGATTAGTAGTTGGTGGTGCTTTTGAGGGAAAATGGGTGGTTACTTCTAATGAGTGTATGGTTTCTTTTTTGAGTGATGAGAACATTCTAAAATTGATTATGGTGATGGTTTCACAACTCTATAAATATACTAAAAGTCATTGAATTCTACACTTTAAATGGATGAATTGTGCAGTATGTGAATTATATCTCAACAAAACTATTAACAAAAGAAAGTATACGAAAAAGTAAAGACCAATTTTTTAATTCAGTCTTTATATTAAATAAAATTCTAGCAAATCAAGTCAGCATTGTATCAAAAAGAATATTATTAACCCGGAAATGACCATATAGTCAATCATAAATAAGTATGTTATTATAATTGTAGTAAAAGATTCAGAATTAAATATATAAGGATTTAAATATAGGATTTCACCATTTTGCAAGAACAGAGAGAAGTGTTCACTAGCCAAGGGGATGAGGAACCCTCCATACCCCGAGTCCTTAACCCATCAAAATGACAGGCTTTTACAACAAAATACAACAAAGACCATTCCTGGGAGTTGCCTTTTAGTCAGTAAGTTCGGACAGTCCTTGAGACACTCAGAAGGGGAATGGAGACTTGGTGATACTTAAGTAGAGGATATGGAGAGCTTACATCTCTCACAAAGAGGAGATGAGACCCCTTGAGAGCAGGAGAAAGATAGACATCATAGTCATAAGTCAGCTAACTTGTAAAAAGCTCTTTGAAAAGGGGTACTGATAATATACATTTGGAAATCTGCATGGCATCGTTTCATTGCTCATGATGCACTACCACATTGTGAGGAGACTGATCCCTCCCTTCCCCAATACATTGACGTGTTAAAGCACACAGCTCTGTGGTTATCTCAGTGAGATGAAAAAAAAATTGATTTTAATTCATTACCTAGTTCTATTCTGCTAGGATACTACTCTCGCCCCCACTCCTTTTGTCTCCCAATGAGGGAAGGGCCAAGGACCACAGTGTGGGAGTTAAGGCTGCATATTATATTATCCCATACAATTTCTGGAAGTGGGATGACACAGGAGGTTGTTGCTTCTTATTTCAAGGACAGACCAGTGACCGTTCTAAGTCTCAAATTTTTATGCTGATATTTTCGTTGTAATAATAGCTTCCTGAATTCTTTTCTTAGCTCACCTTAATATAAGAACTACTTAATCGATTCTATTACTCTTTTAACTGAGCCACCAGTTAGGTTTTTTATATGCAATATACCCCTATCACAGTGTGCCCACCATGCCGCGTAACCTCAGTCCAACCATGCCCGTAAGTTACAGGGCTGCACAAAGCTCTGGGAAGAGCTACATGAGATGCAAACCTGTGGCACCGTCTTATTTAATTGATATCATGCTCTTCATGTTTTGCCAGTTTCTTAAGCCATTAGGTCTACAGTTTTAAGACTTTTAAATTTAATCATCTTACTTTATTGGAAACATTTTCTGTATTTAATGTATTTACAACGCTAGTAAAACAACCTCACCAAAAATTCAGTTTCTTTTTTGCCAGGGTTGTTATCTCATCTAAGCAAACAATAAATAAATATTCATGTGACAAAATAGTAATAGCTTGCATTTACTGAGTGTGCAGTGTGTACCATGTCAGGTCTAAGTGCTTTACATGCAATATTTCTATTTTCCTTAGCCAACCTCATTTTAAATTCTGGACCACAGATCTCAAATGGGCCATCAGCACCACACTTCTTACTGCACTTCCTGGGATGTTCTTTTTCTCACTGTCTGCAATGATGATTTCATACATCTTCTTTCTTCTCAAAACCCAACTCCTTCCCCTATGTTCCATTCTCAGCTGACGACATTGCTCATACTTTACTGAGAAAATTGCAGTAATCAGATGGCAACAGTATCACCCAGACACCAAACTCCATATCTCCCTGCATTTGTATCTCTGTTCTCTACTTTGCTCTTGTTACAGTGGATGAAGTAGCCTTGTTTTCATCTTTTGTCCTCTCAGGGACGTTGCTCCTGGAAGTATCCCCTTTTCTCTCTTGCATTTATAGTGGAATCATATTAGTTCCACCAGGATGCAAATATTCTTTAGAATCTTCCATCTTATAAAGACAGAAACAGAAGCCTCCCTTGACTTTATAGCCTTTTCTT